AAAAATTGCAGAAGAATTATCAATGAACTTGAGGACAGAGCAACAGAAACTATCCAAAATTAAGCAAAGAAGAAAAAAAAAAAAAAAAAAAAGAATTGCAACAGTTATTTCTATCAATGACAATGAATCAGTTTTTCATATAGCATAAAGTTGATGGATACATCATTACAGTGTAAGAGCTCGGTTTACACTCTAGATTTTCTGGTATGTTTAAATTATTTTCTGTTAATTCTCCTCACAGTACAGTTCAAGATAAAATTGGTATATTTTATTAGCCTTATGATGTTTTTTATTATTTCCCACCCATTTTACACTGTCTTTTAAAAAATGACTTAAGTAAAAATAATTCCTTGTTATTCAGTTTCATCAAAGAAAGCTTTTAATTGATACATTATCATTGTTATTATTTCATTTTGTTAGTCAAACGTGGGAGCTGTCCTCATACAACCAGATTTCTCTTTCTTAATGGAAGTGTCTTGAAAATTAAGGAAATCACCAGCTTCTCAAAGTTAGACTAATTGCTTCCATAGAATTGCTGAGCACTGCTTAACCAGTTCTACTTTACCAATTAAAACCTCACTTTTCTGGAGTTGATGGCTTTAAATCATTGAATGTTTTCTTCTTATTTAATGATTCAGAAGGGAGATGGCCTGAGAGCTATGAAATAAACTTTTATTTGGATGTTTTTTCATATTTCAACCTGACTTTTAACCAACAACAAAAGCTTTGATTTTAATTCTGGCATCATGCTAAATAATTTATTTATATTCATAAAGAAGGTAATGATAAAATTATGTACCCCATAACCTTTATCATTTTCTCTCAAAATTAATTGTCTCCCAAAAGAAATATGTAAAATATCTTTTTTTTTTTTTTTTCATGATGGTGTCTGTGTTGCCCAGGCTGATCTTGAACTCCTTGGCTCAAGTGATCCTGCAACCTCAGCCTCCCATGTAGCTGGGATGACAGGCATGTGCCACTGTGCCTAGCTGAAATATCTCATATCAATCATACTGTTACATAGGATTTTTTTTAATGCCATAAATGTTCAAAGTGTTTTTTCCATAAAACTTAAGTAACATTTTTATGAAGTTTAAACAGGTAAAGGGAAGAATATACGTAACTATTTGTCAAAGATAATATTCAAAAGGAAATCATAGAAAGAAAATATAGTGCTTTTTAAAGAGTGTTTACAAAACTTCACTTGTGACTATGGCAAGAAAATTGTATAGAATTTAATATTCATTATGTATCACCTTAAAATATTGATGCAGATTTTTTTTCTAGTTAATTTGAACGTTTTCTTAGGACTCTGTTTTAAAATAATAGTTTTTTAAAAAGTAGTTCTCTATAAACCTTTGATACTAATTCCCTTCCTCCCATCCTAATCAGTAAATACCACAAACTAAAATAAGTCTGGACCACAAAATTGACAAATATTTATCTTTGTCCTTGGGTAAAAAGTTACAGAAAAACTAAGAAATTATCTTTGGGTATAACCTAAAGATAACTTATCAATTCATTTACTGGCATTAGCGTTGGTGTAATATAATACAATGAAATCGCAATGTCTGTACATATTTCCTATGAAATATTTATCAGTTTGACAAAACTGCAGTAAAGTCAATGTATTGTGGCTTATATTCATTCCCAATAGACTTTCATTAAGAAGTACTGACGTAAATTGGCAGTGTTTTAACCACCAATCCTTACAAGTATATCTAAAACTCTGGTCAAAGATCATTTATTTTTAAATGCATATACTTTATTCTATACTTTCACAGTTAATTTTTCTTTGAGACTGTTGCTTGTTTGTGACTGTTTATATTGTTACTGTAGCTCAGAGCAGATCTATGACTTAAAAATGCAAATATAGTCTTACAAAATGAAAATATCACTCTGACCAATGTTCTGCTCACTCCAAAGGATGCACAATTGCAGGTTCCATCCAGAGATTTTATAGAATTTAATCAGCTTGAAGTCTTTGGGCATTTGGAGATCTGAATCAAACTCCCCAACTCTGATTTTCTAGGTCTATATTGCCCTTTGAAGGAAGCACACTGTAGCGGCTGTTCTATGGTTTACCACATTATAAACCTGGATGTTTTGGGTCCTAACAGTGTCAGTTGACTTCTAGCCAGGCTGTAGGGGGTACCTAACCGTATGGTGTGTTTTCATTATAACAAATTCTGAAGCTAAAAACTGGCTCTCTCACTTTCCCCAGGGGGCCATGGAGGAACCATATGATTATGCCTCCTACTGCTTATTTCTTCACAGTGAGCCAACACCAAAACAACACATAATGTTGCTAATGGGGCCTTGTGAATTGAGATAGTACAGGTCCAAATTATCATCCTTTTCCTACAAACATAAAATATTTTATTTTTGCTAAGCAATTTGATTACATATAGATGTAAACATAGACAAAATGCAGTCTATTACCAATACCAGATGTCTTAATGATGCCTATATTTTTCAATA